CTTAGGAACGACGCATACATAATCCCGTGAGCCGCCGAGACGGCCAACGTCGCGTCGTTGCTTCGCCGCTCTAGCTGGGTGCGCCAGTTGTACATTCCGCGGTCCCCTACGACAGGATAGGTTCCTGCGGGGCATAAGCTTTCCTTCCCTAAGGGGTTGTCACCACCATTAGGGGCGTATCCCTACCGAGCTACTGACCCACGTGCGAAAGCTTTTAGATGCAATTACAGAGGTAGGTCAGCCGAGGGCGTTTGCTCGCTCGTTGTAGCATAGATACGTTTGGTTAACGCCAAGTGGACCCCCCGTTCCTTAGGGCGCTTATCTCCTAAGTACGAAGCGGACGTCGGTCGACTAGGACGGTCTCAACCAAGTGTGAAACCACAATTCATCCTAGTCCCTTAAACACAATAAAAAAAAAAATTAAAACACACATAATTTCATCGAAAAGAATCAACCGTAGTCGACAGAGACATACCCAATCTGAGATGATAACTGAAAAGGTTAAAATCATCATGTAGTACATCCAGCAACTCAAAATCAAGATAAAATCCGACCACCTCGGGTCAAATTCTACAAAACAATCATACAGCCGCCAACAAGGAGTTGGCTTCCAACAATCACATAGATGCAGCCGACATGGTAGCCGGTCGCCTTAGTTTTGACTTGATGAGATGCGTTGCCAAAGTTACCATTCCACCCTATCGCTGTCCTAAGATTAAACACGCATACACCTGTCTCCACACATTTTCAATCCTCTTGGATGACAGGTTGCCTCGCGGATGATTCTTGATCAGGTGCATGGCTTGTAGTGTTGCATACCTCTCCCTCTAGGAAGTGGTCTGTGGATACTCCTTCCCCTCGCCCGAGCCCGAAGACCCGGATCTCAAAGGTTGGGCCGTCACCACCGAGTCGGCAAAGTACCACCCCCGACGAGTCGGGTCCACTCCATGTCGATAACAGGGCCAGCCCCAAAAGCATACGAACCCCCGCCTTGGATGCTTCACAGAAAACAGAGAATGCTTTCACCGCAAGTAGTTTTCAATTATTCCCATTCCTTCTCGATTCACGATGACTTAAAAATAAAGAAATTGCATGAGCTAGAGAATGAGAATCATTTTGACAAATACAGGTAGATAAAATCATTTGGGATAGAATACGTCAATCCCGGAAACTAAGTTCAATTGACTGCACCTTCATTATATTCACAAGTTTTCTTTCACGGTACCCGTTGAATACTTTTATCATGCAGGCAGATGGAAGATAGAAAAAGAACAATCCTTTTCCTTTTCCCCAGCAGACAAAATCAGTCTCCATAGCAAACATCCATCTACCTACCTGCACAACATGCAAAGAACACGAGTTAAAAAGAAAACAGTATAATCACAGACTCACGTCATACCTTCTCATTCACTAGCATGACTCACACAACTTCCCTTTGCCTTTCCTTTTGAACATTCAACACAACAAGGTCAAGCAAAGTGTGGGTTCACCCAGGTGTGAAGGGAAATATGAATCAATCAACAGACCTTGAGTGAAGTTTGAATTGACGCACTAAAAAAAAACGAATARTATTCCAATCAGAGTTGAGAAGACGACCGCAGTTGAAGTTCAAATAAAAGCTTACAACTCCACAACTCGTGGCTGTTCCGTTGAACGACGGCCGCCTCACTCTCCAAGTGCTGGAATGAGCGAAAGTCACTTCTAATGAGAAACTCAAGTGAGATAACCCTCCAGGARGGTGTTCCCATGAATGAGTCTCCATGTAGTTCCCATGTCCCAATGACACCGTGTCTTCAGAGGACAGTTCCTCCCAAACACAAGTCCTCGTCGCCTCAAATCACCATGCCCGCTCRCAATAACCACACTAACGTGTCGACCTCAACCTCAAAATCCGTCCCACTTGGTCCCAAAATGGTCCCAATGCAGTCCCATACTATGGCCCGCAATACCGGATGGTCCAGAACTGAAAACCGTTTGCACCGCATGCCGCAAAAAAAAAAAAAAATGGCCCCCGGTGAAACCCGCAGGTGCCACAACCTAGTAATTATTGTCGCCTCATGCAACAGCTCTGCACTTTCTGCATGCCGTTGACCCACGCACCCCTGTCACACAGTCCCAACCACGCACCAGCGYCARCCCAACCTCTAGGCCACACTGGGATCCACCATAGCCACTGCGTACCAYAAAAATACAYGGACCGCTCTTTGTTGTGCCATCAAACCTGGTACCATGGCTGCCCCGCAGCATTACTGCAAGATTACTTAAAAAAAAAACGCCTCTGCTGTAACGCAAAAGATCCACAACATTTTCTCTCACAATGGTATCGCCGATGTGCCGCCAACCGGAAAGCATAACCCCAACAAAAATAATGTCGACACCACCGCCAATTTCGGCAGCATGATCCCACCGGATACACTGTCGTTGATCGAGCGGCACCTCCCTGAGCCAATGTCTTGTCGCCGCGCTATGCAAACATCCTAACGTCAGCACCCTTAAAAAAATCACCGCCGCCGCAAAATCTGGGCAGCACTTCCGCGCCGCTCCCGTTAAAACTGGCGCCGCYGCCACAAAACCCGTGCAGCGCTTCGGCACCACCACCAAAACTTGCTGCCGCTGCCGCACCAAACGGGCAGCACTCCCCCTGCGCCGTCAAGAAGCTCACTACCATTGCCGTACCAAACGGGCAGCACTTCCCTTGCGTCACAAAAAAACTCACTGTTGCTGCCACACCAAACGGGCAGCACCTCCCCTGCGTCATCCGCAGTTATGGCTGCACAGCGGCAGCATCTCCCCCTGGCCGCAAGCCTCCTCAGCTCCTCTTCCAACTAAGCCGCGGCTGCAGGGCTCCAACAGCCTCCTCCCTCCCTACAGAGGCGGTGGCTCTAGCAGCCTATGTTACCGCGCGTTCATTGAACGTGCGTTCCGCGTTCAGTTTTTGAACGCCTTGAACGCGCGTTCACTGAACGCCCCTGAACGCAGTTGACGCGTTTGCGCAGGGGTCTGTCGGGGCTTGGGGGGTGCCTCTGAGGCCGCTGGAGGGTCGCCGGTGCTCAGGGGAGCCTGCTGGGAGGTTGTAGTCCCGAAAAAAATAAAAATAAAAATAATAATAATAATAATAATAATAATAATAATAAAAGGCCCGCGTTTCGTCGCGGGGCAGTATATAGTGGGGGGAGCGTTCGCACGCGACACAGTCGTGCAGTGCGCGTCAAGCGTTCCCCACGTTCACTTCCACAAGTACTGCACACGCACTGTGAACGAGGGAACGAACGCACGTGCTCGCGCGCGCGAGAGAGAGAGAGAGAGAGAGAGAGAGAGAGAGAGAGAGAGAGAGAGAGAGACTGCATGGCCTGCGCCTTAGCTAGCGCACGAGCGAGCGAGCGAGCGAGCGAGAGAGAGAGAGAGAGAGAGAGAGAGAGAGAGAGAGAGAGAGAGAGAGAGAGAGAGAGAGAGAGAGAGA